ATATATATATATATATATATATATATATATATATATTCAACACATGAAACACTAATATAAATACTGTAAATTAAATTATATCAGTTGTGTGTTAAATTATATGTACAGTACACATGCATTTCTAAGATCAAGAATATGATTGACATTTGCAGGAACAACTTGGAGCACAAACTCCCCAACAAAACTGTTATCTACCATATTACCATAACATATATATTACGAATTTAGCTCTGGACAAAACAACATTACATTTTGATGATAGTGCGTTAGGAATCTTAGAAGAATTAAATGCTAAAAGAGAAGGGTTTATAATTTTTTCATTAGAATTTTTTTTGAGCATGTCAAAACCTAACTGAAATGCACATTTACTTCTGAAAAACACCACCTCCATGTTCTTCCACTACCAAAATGCAGAAAAATTATAAACATGTAATACTCTCTCTCATCTCATTTCCATATATGTTCTTTAGTTATCATATCACTTATAATATTTATTATTATTATTATTATTATTAGTATTATTACTACTATACACTATCCAAAAAATGGAGTTAATCACTTATAATGTTAGTTTTCCACTAAATCAAATTAAGAGCTCAATCAATCACAACAATCCCATCAGGAAGGGTTAGCAAACACAGAACACATACTTTATACGAAGTAAATAGAACACATAATCTCGAATTGGAGAGAAATTGTGTGAGAGTGTTTCCAGTATAACATTTTCTGAAATAAATGATAGAGGACAAAATCTAAAGAAAGAAGAAACACCCCCACTTAAAGTACACTGTTAAGCTCTTAAAGCTTTTGCAACTTCTCTAATTCTTTAATTTGAAGTATACTAAAAGTAAGCAAAATTGAAGCAAATCCAGTCTATATTCAATCGGAAAGCTATGAGAAGAATGATTCTCTATCTCTAACTTTCTTAATTAAAAAAGTTCTGGGTCAACTGAAAATAAATACATGATTAAGGATGCTAGCTAAAGATCAACCACAGAACAGAATACAAAGTTTCTTATCCGTTTCAAGTACAACTACACAACAATAAATATATTTAACATTCCATTTAAACTAGCAGACAAAACACACACTGGTTTGTTTATTTTTCACTCGCATGACCCACATTATTCACTTCTATTAACCTGCAACAAAAGGGAAACTTAATCCCTTACTTGATTTGATTTTTTTCTTTTTACATTCTAATAAAATCAAATTATAGGTGATTGATTCACTCAAACCTCACACAGATAAGCTACAATAAAAAGTATCGATTCTCCTTGTCAGATAACACCAGTACTATCAATCAATGTCGGAG